ACCAACACCTCTTTGCCGCCGTTCTACATCCTCGTGTACGTCGACGACTTGGTCTTTGCCACAACTGACACTGCTGGACTCGCCCACGTGAAGTCGGAGCTGCAAAAGAGACACACGTGCACAGACTTGGGTGAGCTGCGCAGCTACCTTGGCTTGCAGATCACCCGGGACAGAGCACGCTGCACCATTACCTTGACTCAGTCACACATGGTGCAGCAGGTCCTTCAGCGCTTCGGCTTCACGTACTCCTGGCCTTCGGCCACTCCTCTGCCTATTCGCCACTCGCTCTCAGCTCTGCCTTCGGATGAGTCCGTAGAGTCGAGTGGCCCGTACCCAGAGCTTGTTGGCTGCCTCATGTACCTGATGACATGCACTTGATCTGACCTTGCATACCCTCTTAGCATTCTCGCACGCTATGTTGCTCGTGGGAGACATAGAGTGGAGCACATGGCTGCAGCGAAGAGGGTGTTGCGCTTCTTGTGCAGTACATCGGGCATGAGGCTTGTGCTTGGAGGGCAGAGTCCAGTGGTCCTCACTGGTCACGCAGACGCTTCTTGGGCTGACGACCAGGCTACGCAGCGGTCGTCACAGGGTTACACCTTCAACCTTGGTTCTGGCTCTGTTTCGTGGCGGGCTACCCGCTCGTCTTCTGTTCTCGGCTCCAGTTGTGAGGCTGAGATCTACGCCGGGGCCATGGTTGCACAGGAGTTTTGCTGGCTCACCTACCTGCTGACTGACCTTGGAGAGCCGCCTGGTTCTCCTCTAGTGCTGTACGTAGACAACAAGGCCATGCTGGCCTTGTGTCGAGAGCATAAACTGGAGCACAGAACGAAGCACATTGCTCTTCGCTACTTCCTTGCTCGTGAGCTGCAGCAGCGTGGTCAGCTGCATCTTGCGTACGTGGCCTCTGAGGCCAACACTGCTGATATCTTCACCAAGGCGCTTGCGCCTTGTGATCATCAGCGCTTCTGTACTCAGCTAAGTCTTGTGCCTGCCTTGCCTCACTTGCTCACCTCTTGACCTTGCTTGTACTGTTACATATATATATATACACCTGCACTTGCTTGTCCAGCCTTTTATATATATATGTGTCATCCTGCACGTGAACTGGCCTTGTGGCCCTGACCTTGTGCTCGGAATGTGTGGTGACTTTGTGATCCACCCTGAGTTTGCGTTGCTTTGCTTTGCTTGACTGGTCTTGTGACCCCTTGTACTCCGCCACTTTGCCTATGGGGGTGTGTCATATTTATATGACATAGCTATTGTAGGCTATAGTTGGGTAGCACATATGGGGTGCAGCTTTCTAGGGTTTGTATTTGTACCCAACTTTCACCTAGTAATTTCATTCTCGTTCTAGTTTTCTCATCTAGACCCTTCACTTAGGAGAGGACGCGGATAAAAAAATTGGACCGTTTTGGATTGAATGAACGAATTGTTTTTTGGGTTGCGTAGCAACCCTATATATTTGGTTTCATATTTTGGGGATATCATTTCAAGGGTGGTTTTTAAACACTCTTTAAAGCACCCGTTTGAACAACTTTTTGATACCGTGTTCAATAGAATGCCTCAAACAGTGGATACACCATCCTTGAACAGGGCTGACGCTATCAGAGTAAATAGTCTGATTAGTCTGACGGATCAGATCATCGAGTTTGTGAAAAATGGAATTCCAGAGTAGTCAAATTTTCATCACTGAGAGCCTCAGAGTTATTGTTTTATGGCCCCTGATTCAGTGTAATAGGCCTAAGTGTTAGTCATTTCTGGAGTCTGTCACTACAGGGTATGCATTCTGTGGTCCTTGCATGCAAGTTTATCGGGAGGAAGCTTTCTCGAAATTTCTTTTCGATACACCCACCTCCGAGGTTCACCAGTGAGGGTCAAACTGGTCAGTCAAACCCGTCTTGACTGGTCACAGCACCAGCGTCACTAAAAATTCGCGTTGACAAAGCGAATTCGCGCCGTACGGAGCAACAAATTTGCCCAATCACTGCGAAATGGCCCTGACACAGTAAATTTGAGCTGTCAGAGCACAAAGGTCTTGACCAATCACAGTAAAATGTATCTGACATTGCACATTCGCCCTTTCACAGAACAGATTCGCCATCAAAGTTCAGTTTCGATAATGCACAGCGCGTTACGACACGTACCCTGATCGTGACTTCTCGACCCTGAACACTCAGACTGTATAACTTCCCAACACTGAGCAATCAGGGTGCTGCTTTTCTGGAAAATATGCCTTCAGGGTAATTTTTTTTTTTTTAGGTGGACATCAAGGTACCTAAATTTGAAGCGTCAGACCTGTCCTTGAATAAGATATCCTAAATGTGGAACCAAATACGCATGTTAAAGCCATGAATTTGTTCTGACCGTCCCAGGTCGTAGATTAGTACGACGGATGGTACGATCGAACATGGCATCAACTATTAAAAAGCTAGTGTGAGATAGGCTTAGGAGCCATAGCTTGAGTAGCTTGCTAGGTTTTAGGGTTGAAGGAGAGAAGCGAGAAGTTTGCTAAGTAAAGGAGGGGCTTCACTGTAGAATTGCAAGCATGGCCTATTTTTCAAGGGTATTTTACCCTGATTACACTTGCCAGCGTCCAGTTTTTGGAGTTTAGGCTGATTTTGTAAGTCTATTTTTGTTGCTACTCTAACTGACAAAGTGTACCAAGGTGGGACTAGGCTGATATTTCCAAACAGGGTGCGCCAAAAAACGCACTGAAACTGAAAACCCTTGACCATGCAATAGCGCGATTGTCACAGGTAGGGGGGCGTTAACTTGACATGGCTCGCTTGCCACGACAGTCGCCCTGCTCTGTCAGAGTGACACGAATCACGTCACGATGCCACGGAAACGATGGCACCACATACACAACATAGCGCGTTTTGCTGGCAGCAGCACGGATTTTGCATCAGATTGTCAAGCACAACGCACACAGCAGATCTCGATTTGCAGCCAGAGCGCAAGTTTCAGCATAATCTCCAGCACAATACAAATCTGAGCGCGATTTGCTACAGAATCTAAATTTGTGTCAGAAACGCCTGCACGATACACACTATGTAGCCCACACCAATCGCGCACGACAGACCGTGCAAGACCAACCATGCAAATTGGTCCGTCCCTCCCACACAATCCAACTCACCATCTTGCCTACGATGTTTTCCTACATCTGACTAGGTCGATGAGAGTCTGAATAACCTTCCCAAAACCAGTTCACCATGGACGACGAGAAGAACGTTGTAGATAGGGATCCAACTCGCAACGGACTTAGTGTCCTAGGCATTTTCTCGCTTATGCCGCCAACGATCGCCCCACCATACCCGGCCCGGAGCAGCCATATCACGCCACCCCAGTCCCATTCGTTAGCCGGGGACTTTGAGCCAACATCGTCACCCTCAGACGTGTTCTCGGAGCCATCACACCATTCTACTTAGGAGGGCGGGTCGTCCAAGAACCCTTATCCTACCATTCCCGAATCCACTACGCCCAAGTCGACTAGTAAGCGCCTACGTGACAGCACCTGCATCGCGAAAAAGGGAAGTTAAAAAAGTCACTCAGAATACACTATGCCGCAACTTCCTCGATAACTTCTGCCCGGCACTTTCAAGTCAAGGTTTTAGAACTGCATAGCATGTGTAACTGACAAACCAACTACCCAGTCACTTTTCCGCTGCATTCTGTACACATGCGTGTATCAAATCGGATACTACACCTGCTACGTTGTCGTTGCAAAACCGTTACAATGAACACCACATGAAAGCTTACCAAACCTAACCTTTCCAAACGACTATAAAGTTGCAACTATGCAACCCCAACTGCCATCTGTACTCGACAACACACGTGGCATCCAGTATCAACCCGATGGTCCACGTAAGCGTTCACCCATCAAAACGTACCCTCACCCCGTCCGTTAGATCTATCTTTTCTTTACGCAATCTACACGGTTCACGTGTCGCCCTGTCAGCTACTCGCACATCATGTTACTCCTTGGGGAGCACCACCTCGCGACTACTCGCTGACACATCGCACTCGCATCTTCTCCGTCCAGCTCCTCATCAATCAGCCCGTAAATACGTGACGCTTGGAACCAGCCCACCGGTGCTCACGTCGCAACTCTCGCGTACGAGACCCACTAGCTTTTTAACACTGGGCATCCATCGGAGGGCGGATCATGGCTTTCCTCCCTATCCAACATTGCACCCTTGCCGTACAAATGTCGCACCGCCACATTCTCGTTTAATTCGCCATATTTCTCGTCACCCAATCGTTTTGCACACGATACACGTTTGCGACTCCATTCTCACCGTCCATCTGCACACATAGTCTGCAAATCCCCGCTGCCACGTTGTTCTCACAGCCGTGATCTACCCCGTACACTTGCCTTCGGATCGTCCACTCGCACATGTAGTAACCATCCATCCATCTCCTCGCGATAAGCCTTCGCTCCATGTGCGCGAAATAATATTAACCGTACACCTGTCACGTCCTCGTCGAATATCAACACGATATCCCAACCAGTACGCCATCACCCCTACACGTAATTTCGATAGTTTTAACGTACACCAGAGTGACGCGCGTACAATAATGCTTATCCATGATGATATCCAATCGGAACGCCTCACGCCCGCACTGTTGTCACGGGCACGTCCTACCCAGTCGCGACATATGGAACCCTCCGCGACTCGCGCCGCCAAATGCGGCGCACTACTAGTTTGCCCGCACACCTGGTTCCGTCCTGCATTTCGCATTGTACATCATCCTCTACTTGCCTGTGTTTTATCGAACAACGATTACCCCAAACGAATTTTCCAATTCATAACACAAACGCACATAATGAACACCACAACTCCTAACTTCACCCGTCCTCTTCAACGCTCAATCACACACATGCAACCCCTTTACCCCACATATACAAACTTCCAACATCGCACAAATAGACCTCTTCTACGCATCTCTTCAGCTGTCCCTTCAACCGTTCACCACCAACATCCTCTATTGACGGTCTACTCATCACCAAGTGACGGCGAAAGGTCGTCATCCCCTACGATGCCTTGCAATGCGGTGGCGGCCGCGGGCTTCATGTGCTCCAGGCCGCACGCAGAGATGCGCAGGCCATGGCGCCCCCAAATCCACGCTTCGCGCTCCACGTCATACTCGGGGTTGCGGATACGGATCGCCCTCTCCACGGCCTCCTTGACCAGGACCTTGAGCCCATCCACCACGTGGGCGTTCCCGCCCGCCGAGTTGGAGAGCCGGCCTTTCCGCGCCTCCCAGTAGAGGACGCTGTCGGAGACCTGCGCCCAACACAAAAAGCGTCAGTCCATGCATTTTCAGTAGGATGCATACCCCTGCACCCCTTGCGCGCACACACTCACCACATGCTCCAACCAGGCTAGCTGGTACACCTTAAGGGTCATCACCAACCATGCCTTCTTCGGCTTGAAGGCAGCCTTCGCACATGTCGCGAACGCCCGTGAGGCAAACGGCATGCCATCCCTGTCGTGCGCCCAGCTGGTCAGCACTAGAGTTTCTGCACACCACATCCGAAGCGTTGGTATCAACGTCCACGATTCTCGCATTGGTGCATGTCTACATACGGTCTACGACTCCAACGGTGGTCTCATGCACTCACCGGGGGGGTCAGCGCCAAGCCCAATGCGCTCCCTTATCTTGTCGATACTACGCTCCTTTTCAGGTGCCCACGGGCTGCATGCGTCCCTGTCGTCCCGGAACAGGCCGAGCTTCGGAAGTGCAATGTCTCGCACGCGAGCGGCAGCCCTTGTCTTCCACTCCGACAGCGTCTTCTTGAGATCCGCCCGTCGCGACTTGTCAGCCGCCAACGCCAAACAGGCAAAGCTGTGGGGCAGGCGGTCCAGCACCGTGCACACTCCGTGCGTCTTATTATCGCTGCTCGGGTAGAAGGTCATCGACGACGTGGGCCTGTTGAGAAACAAGTGAACTCTGGCCATCTCGCACACCCGCTGCGCATCCATAGTATACACGATCACCAACATCAGTATTCACCATGTACCATCGACGTGTACAGAATGCAACCCTTTCTGGACGGGAATTTAGTCAACCAACATGGAAACATGTCCGCTCACCTTCCACGCCTTGTCTGTCGGCAGATGCGCCAACGCGCGTTGCAGAATAGGAGACTTTGCAGTACGCATATGACGACCACCAGAACCATGCGTATCTTCCTCGTCGTCCTCTCCGTCATCGTCCGACCCGCCGCTCCATGTCTCGCCACGCTTACGCTTCGGGTTCATGCACCCCTGCTCCGGGTCTCTCTGCTTCCCAGCCTTACGCTTACAAGATCCACCAAAACGCTCCGCCATTGCATTCAAAAACAGCGCCTCCAACCGCGCGTTCTCCTTGGCGCTCTTGTCCTGAGCCCGGATGAGTTGCTTTAGAACCAGATTCGAGATGCGCACGTCATGGCCGTCGGTGTCCACTGGGGTCCCGCATGCGCGGTGCACATGCCCGTCCACATGTCCTCTGCCTTCGCCCCGATACACATCCGTCTCCCCCGCGCCCCGACTTTCGCGCCCGGCTGCTTTGGGTGAAGCGGTTCCCGCACACCCATCGTCGGCCGTCTGCCCTCCAATGGCAGGTTCGCCCGATTCTTCGGGTGAGGCAGAGGCCGATGTGTCTGAGTCTACCTCGCCATCCTCTTCATTGCGCTCGGACAATGAAGCACTCTCTGCACCAGTGCCATCATCTGCGATGACACAGACGCTCCAGACAAGCACGGTACCACATGTCAGCTATACTTGTTGGGCACTGGGTTTCATACGTATATACAATAATAACAGCCGCATGAGTACAACGAGTCACCCATCCACGTTTTTTTCTGCATACCTTGCTCATGCAGTACCACCTCGTCTCCCTTCTTGGTCACGCTCAAACGCTTAGGCAGTTTCGGCCCGCGTTTCCCGTCAGACAGCCGACCGTGCGGCAGTGTCAGCTGATAAGACGCTCGCAGGTATGCCGGCGGGTTAGATACACGACGGGCGCGCCCTAACGTCAGAGTATCCTCTGTAGCAAGCGAAGTATCCATTGTAGCAACAATAGTATCCAGTGACGTAGTCACAGAATGACGAGCGGTCATATACTTATAAATATACCCCAACTTCTTACCACACCTGATGCCCATCATGGGCAGTGAGTTTGGTGGGCAATACGACTTCGTGTCTATTTGGATGACCGCAATCTGAAACGGCTAATACATGCATAACACGTCATCTTCCGCCATGTACATGTGTGCTCACATAAACCACACACCGCGCACATCATGGCGACACAACCGTATCCGTGGACCTCGTTTGTTCGTACATCTTGTCTCACGAAAGTGTTCAATCTGCACGTTGTTGAGGTACATCCTCTCATTATAAATGTCACCAATTGCACGTTACACTACCACTAAATGTTTCGAACATTTGAGCACCATAGTGTAATCAATAGCCTTCGCACACATCATTTACGAATACCAGCAGAAAATCTAACGCCCAGCACATCTCCCACAGAATTACTCAAAAAAGATACCGCACAATTGCATTCATGTGTACATCAGGACATGTACACCAACTACGCAGGATGTTCTGCCAACATCTCATGCGCAGCAGACTCTTCGACACCCTCCTCGGCTTCCTTGTGCCACGCACACCCGCTGCTGCCGTTGTGCACAAGGGCCGTTCCCCCACTCTCAGCATTGTCAGGGTCGTCTGGTTCGTTGGCCGCCTTGTTTCTATCCACCACCCTCTGCCTCTTTGACGAGCGCGTGGCAACCACTCGCTTCCTCCCTCGTTTCATCTTCCAGTTCACGCCCTCCCTCGCCTCCCGCCAGCTCCGCCACCTCCACCACTTCCTCGCTTCCACCAGGAGCTGCAGATCTTCCTTGGTGCAGCCACGCAGCATCGCCTTCTCTGCGGCTGACAGACTGACAGTGTTGGGTATCTTGTCTCGTGGCCTCAGGACGAACGCACCTGCGGCGTACGCATACGCCGCCTCCTCCTCCGATGTGTATGCACCCAGTCGCTGTTGCCTTCGCTTTCCTCCTTCTTTGATCAGGATCTTCACGCCGAACTTGCCTGATGCTTTCTCCAACTTCACTCCTGTATACTTCGTTGCACACGTGTCGTCACCATCCTCTTCGTCCTTCGTGCCTGACACGAGATCCTCCTCTTCTTCTGCCTTCACCGTCTCGTGGCCGCTCGTATCTCCCCACGCATCAGCTCCGGCCGGCACCGTCCCCCCGAGCAGCGGTCTCCCGTGGGTGAACATCCAGTGAGGTATGGTCCCTCCCGACAGCAGCGGGTTTTGCAGCAAGCGCGCTGTCGGATCACATGCACCGAACGAGGCGGCCAGCGCAACACGGGTAGCATTGCGTACGACATCCTCCTCCGGACTGCTGTCAACAAGCCGCTTGCGCCCTGGTGGACGCTGTGGAGTGTGTGGGGCATTCTTGGTGCCACCTGCCTCTGCTTTCGCGCCGGATCTCACGGGGTTGCCTTGCATCAGTAGTTGGGTTGCAGCGGACACCACCTCCTCGCGCCTTAATCCCACAAAATTGGATATGACGGTGAAGCTCGCGTCCAGGAACATCATATCATTCTTCATAGTCACAATTTCCCTCATCATCGCCGTAACCCGTGCGTCATCCCCGGCTTGACTGACCGGTGCTTGCCTCACATCTTCGATACCACCGTTTCTCTCCCGCACTATTGCCCCCCCCCCTCTGTTACCCGGCCTGCGTCCTGCGGTGGAATTTCGATCCCCAGCGCTTCCAAGTGCTGAATGAGATCTCCGGTCGCGTGTGCGCACAAGTTGCGCTGCATCTCCCGCCGGTATTGGTGCGGCGTCACTCCCTGAAACCAGAGCCCGCTCAATAACGTGGTGAAGTCGGACATCACCAGGGTCTTCAGGTACTAGCAAACAAAAATTCCACAGTCCTGCTTGTTCGGGTGCTGTGGCAGCTTATCCTCCTGCACTTCGACAAACGCACACTACAGTTATCGATCCGTCTACCCTCGTAAACATTGTGCACACAGGTATGCGCATTTACTTGTCTCTCACCCGTAATATAATGCACTCCACATCCAATAGGAGCTTGTCAACAAGATCCATGTTCGCGTCGGGGTTGCTAGCCTTCGCGAGTTCGGACAGCACTCTGCACGTTACACGCCGAAATCGTTAAAACAATTTATGCATCAGCTGCCAGCGACATGCAACGTCGATAGTGAAACCCGTGCTCACAGCTTGGTGCCTGCAAAAATCATGCGGGTATTCCTTGTCTTTATGCTACTGTCCAGCAAGACCAACTTCATTCGCTCTTTGCCTTCGGATTTCTCGGACTTGGTAAGCACCGATGGAGATACAGCGATGACGAGCGAGTAGTGCTCCCTACGCTCAACATGAGAGGGTATGTTGGGATTAGGGTTAGTCAACCATCGGTGTCATGCTAAAGAATCTGTTCACGTACCGAATACTTGTGATACGTACCCCTCTAACACAGGGATCGCGAGATAGTCGTGCTGCAGTAGAGGAAGCCCGTTCCCCAGCGTCAAAGGCGCACCACACGAGTTCGTCTGGAAGTACGCCTTGCAGTCCAAGGCAGCCCATGTTTTCCCGTCACGGAGAGTTGGCTTCCGGATGCTAAGCAGCCTGCACAGGTAATGAACAAGAAATAACAAAGCGTTTTAGATGTTGCCCATACATCAGATACTACGCAACATAGCGTCATCCAGGTGACCATCAGTGAAGTTACGTACACGTTGTGAAAGTCTAGCACACAATCAGTGATCCACTGATCATCCTCGATCGACATGAGGTCGTCCTTATCCACCTCGCACCCGACGCCGCGGTGATTTATAAGCGTCATGTTTGTGTAGGAAGACTTCATGTAATTCCGTGCGACGAGGGACACCAAATCTTCCTGCACCTGCTCCCGCGCCGTATCCTCCTTAGTCGTAGCGAACTTCATGGCCCTTCCGGAGGCCTTAGTTGGCAGGATCTGCCCTGGATTCTTCATGTTAGACTCTGCATTTTTCGACGACCTGGTTCTGCATGTCGGCGGGGCAGGATCTTGGTCGTCGGAGCCGCTGCTAGTTTCGGGTTCATAGAACCTGTTGCGCTTAGATGTCAACTGCTTAGGTTTCGCCATCTCTATCTATCAACGACTATAATACAAACTACCCTGGCTTATGAAGACGCGAGCAGGTAGGGTTGGCAGGAGGAACACATTTACTGGGAGCGCAAGCGTTGAGGATACTATGGAAAGTGAAGGAGATAGAAAGGCGTAACCCTCGAAGATCATGCACATCTGGTGTGACCGTCGTGTAGAGCTACAAAGATCTTCACCGTTGGCGCAAGCGTGCATGCGATGGCCAGGTGTGATGCGACAATTCGAGCGGATGTGATGGTTCTGCGCCATGCACATCCACGTGTGCTAATCCTAGGGTTTCGGATGCTCTGGTCGGACGTTGAAGCCGGGTTACCAAGCAGATGCATGCAGGCGAATGCACGGTAGTTCTATTTTTTTGATGAGAAGGCCGTGTGACGCGAAGTATGGTAACGATGTACGCCGTATGGTGAACATACGTGTATGTGTCTCTTCGCGCGGCGAGTCCAAATTGAATGCAACCGATGCGTACATGGTTATAAAACTTGTATAACAATAACACGCGATTGCAATGTGCTATGTTACGTCAGTTCAAGGTGTACAGTGGTTGGAAAAAATGAGGTTACCATACATGACAAGAAATCAAATATATGCTATGGTTGTTGGTGGTTACGGAACCAGTTTATGATATTTTTATAATGTCGATAAACAAGTTACAACCATTGGAGGGGCGGTTTGACAAATGTACATCCCGATTTACGTACAAAACATCCATACATAATACACTTGTACCATTCACTATAACGTGTACGTCTTTGTTCTGTGCGCACACCACATAGGTTCCCGCACATGCGTATGCTCGAACCAGACCAACTCTGTTCTACAAGAGTGCACCAGATGGGCTGGGCATTCCCGTTTTCACAGCAGCAATTCCTAGGGTTTCACGGCTGGAGGATGACGGGGAACAGTTGCCTGGTGTGCAAGACGGTGTTTAAGGACGACACCAGGTTACAGTCCCATGTAGTGAATGGGGCTATTTGTCGCGATGAGTTGAAGAGGAAACGTGAACAACTTTTGTGGGCTGCATATTTGGAAGCCGTTGCGTGCGAAGGAGAGGGTAGAGCAAATACCCCACCGATATCTAGGCTTAAAACCAACGATGGCAGCTATCTCTCCGTACCTCCAACGGTGTCGATACCCGAAGTTAGTGTCGTTGGCGACGCGGATACACCATCCGACGGCGCTAACCCCGAATCTACAGAAGGCAGCGATAGGACGGAGATTTTTGATACACTTACAGAGTTGTACCTGTTTTTCCGTGACGCCGATCTGTCGCATCGGGAAATTAACCGTCTGCTACAGATTTTCCGCAACCCTCGCTTCAGCCTCAGGGCTCTCCGACGATGGCGCAACTGGGTGGATGTGCGCCGCTGGGGCATGGCGCGAGCTCCACCCGACATGGTCCCGTGGAAAACGGAGGAGATAGTGGTGAGGGGTCCCAAAGGACTGCAAATGAAGATGCTACTGCACTTCCGCGACACCGAGTTGGTACGTGTTGGGAGGCCAACCTGGAGGCGATGTCTAGGTGTTGCGTAGATGAAGGTGTCACCCTTCATGTTCTCACTCATGTTTTTGCGCAACGCACACAGATCTTGAAAAAGCTGGTGAGGACGTTCTCATCCAAAAAGGGGTTCGTATGGAAGCCGAGGAATATATATCGGAAGAAGAACAACGAGAGGGTATTTGAAGGACCGGAGACAGGTGATTGGATGCACTCTGCTCAGGTACGCACATGTTAGTTGTTCCGTTGTCATATGTCGTGCTTAGTGGTACCTGCACGAGGTGTCACAACGCTCACCGCCCCGTGCGCTCTACATGGCAGAAGGAGATTAACGACGACCAAGCACTCGTGCTAGGCGTGCTGATATACAGCGATAGCACGCAGGCATCACGAAATGGACGAAGGAACGCGTGGCCTGTGCTGATATCACTTGTCAACATACCCGAAGAATTGCGAGGAGTGGAGCCCGGGCACACATTGGTGGCGGTGCTTCCATTCCCGCCTGAATGGGCGTCGCCCACGGAGAAGACGCGCGTGTTCCAGGAGGCGCTGAAGATAATACTCGCGCCCATCATGCGAGAGTCCGCCAGGTACTGGGAGGGGATGGGGGTGGGTATGATAACGATACACGGGTGGGGAAGGGGGGCCACCCCAGTTAGTAGCCACCCTTTTGGGAGATATGCATACGATCCATCACTAAGTGAACACTATGTGTGCATGGCGGCCCTATGCAGCGCGCCAGTACGCTTCTTCTACTGCACAGACGCGGACGGGAAGGTGCACAAGGCGGTCCCTTGCCTGTACGGATACCCTGCTGACTTCCCGGAATCCAGCAGAGCCTCCGCAACTCTGCAGCAAGGATCGCATCGACCATGCGCTTACTGCTACGCTGTGAAGGGGGAGTTGACCATGATGGTGGGGAAGTGTGATCCACGGACCCCCGATCAGCAGAGGGACATTGTTCGACAAATCTTGGCGTGCAAGAAGAAGGGCGAGGCAGACGATGTGCGGAAGTTATGGTCAACCCATCCGATCGAGGTGTGTTTGCGGGTGCACGGTTTGGTGGTGCGTATTCAAGGGGCCCTGGATATCATGTGTACTGTTTGACAACACTGTGTCGTCTGTGGGATGGTTGCAGTGCGTGCTTCAAAGATGGAATTTCGCAGACACAGAGTGGGGAAACGTGTACCTGGCATGCCTAGCAGACACAATGCACGTGCTGGACTCTGGTGTTCTGATCCACATGATGGACTCCTACATTGAACCCCTTGGAAAGGTTGAGATGCGGCTGCTTGAAAGGTGAGTTAGGTGTAGTCGGGTGTGAGAGCGGTGGCCAACTTTGTTCTGCAGGGATTTTTGAGCGGTCTAGGCCCCCATGTGTGTCAAGCGGATAACGACGTCGTACTATGTATGTGCGCAGCCGCAAGAAGGAGTTCAAGCGTTTCACTCCAAACGTTCTCCTGCGTATCCCTGGGGGATCATCGTTCTTCAGTTGAGGCGCAAACTACGCGGCGTTCGAGCACAGGAGCATGATGCAGATAATGCCGCTACTCGTGGCAGACGAGAGTGCATTGAAGGATGGACCGGAGGGAGAGCTGCGTGCTTTGCAGGTCAAGGCGTTCCGGTTGTATGCTGTGTTCTACAAGGCGTTTCTGGGGGTTGACAGACACACACACACGACAATTGCGGTTGCCCGGCAGCATGCGATAGCGTGAGTATTTGTAAACCCCACGCCGTTGGGTCAGCAAGATGTATGGGAGGCTATGCCTCCAGATTGGACAGCTATTTTGAGGTCGCCAAATACGGTGATGCATCCAGTATTGTGCCTTCTCGGGGGTGCCGGTGCAGGTTGGTGGCGTTGCTACCGAAGGCATTCCCATCGCAGGCATCCCACTGGAAGCTCCCAAAGATACACATGATAAGACATTTGCTGGACAACGTGAAGGAGCGTGGGATGCCGCACCACTATTCAACCGAAATGTGGGAGCGCACGCACAAGGGCACGGTGAAGGGTCCTGTAAGAGGGAGCAATTGGAGCGACATACCTCGACGAATCGTGGAGGAGGAGGTGCAGCGCGAGGTGTACCGCGAGGTGGCGGCGGACGCAGGGGGTGGGCGACAGTACGCGCGCGCCTTGCGTGAGGTGTGTTAGTGGGTATTGGCGACGATGATGGCCAGTTTTGGTAGTACAATGTACACCGTACACCGGGGTGGTGGCGTGATTCATACACCGTTACATTCGTTGTGCGAACGCGTGTGGTACGTGCAGGCAATATTGACGAAGAAACCGGTGCTCACGAAGAAGTATCGGACTATGCGGATTGGCAGAGCGGCGGATCCAGTGTACAATGAGTACAAAACCGCGGTGGGAGACGATATGGAGGGTTTGGCAGACGAGTTTAAGGCGTTGGGTCTGGATACCAACAGCGTGCAGGTGAAGTGATTACAAACTGGCCGACATGTGACGTTTGTAGTCTTAAGTGATGGTACTCACCGCACTCATGATGTGCACGTGTTGTTGGTTTGGTGGGGATGGGGTGACAGGTCCACACGGCGGTGGCCATTCCGCGCACAAGAGGCGGAGAGCTGGTGGCCAAAGGGACATTTGTGAAGGCGTCGCCCCGAGAGAGGTGGTATTCGGACGTTGCACTGCTCAATGACAAGGGTGGGGACTGGTATGCAAAATGTCTGTGCATTTTCAGGGCGGTTGACCGTGAAGGGGATTGGAAGGGGTACGCATATGTGAGGTACTATGAGAAGGCTGGGAGCTACAATCTCACGGGATGTACGCAGCTGCACAAGACAGTGGAGGATTTGAGGTTCTTGGTGGTGGAGCTGAAAAGCCTGCAGAGAGTGGTGCACGTGTGCCCTTCGTACAGCAACAAAAAGGTGCAGCTAGTAAATAGGTTTCTACTATGCGAGTGACGCAATGCGTTTACAGATAGTGGTTGCATCTCGGAATTTTAAACCATAAATTACTGCGTAGTGCGTTCTTTATGTGTAGAGGCACGAATGGATGGAAGTTGTGTTACCCAGCGGTTATGATATTGTACACTCGTGGTAAGAAGGAGAGACGTTCAATCATGTAAAGGTGTGCAGTATGGTGGTTAAAATATGAATGGTATGACGCGTACGGGTACCCTTATTCGTTGCGCGGTCGGAGTTGCACAACCACAATGTGTGGTGGTACACACTCGGGGACTGAGGCAGTTGGTTGTTTGGATATGGGTGACGCGTACGTGGCATCGTGGGGTCGGGATGTCCTATGTGGGCGTTACAGGTGGTCGTATCAAAGGAGAGCGTTATCTCTGTGCGGCGCAGGGAATGTGGTCGGTTGGTTGTGTGGCCAATTTCAACTGCTGCACACAGTGTGCGTGCAAGGGCAAGGCGGGGATACGCCAAGGTGATATGAAACGTATGTAGGAGGAGGTCGTGTGCCCTTCAATGCAGATTTGCATACCAGAGTGACAGTGTGTTACAATGGGTGACCTGAAGGCCCTGCTTGCTACCGCACATCCGGATGACGTGTTCTGCTTCCACGAGATTAATTTTCTTCCCAGCCGGCTGCCGAAGTCCTACATTCCGGATAAGCGCAATGTGGTGGAGCGTATAGTCAGCGTCGGAATACTCTACAACGCGACTGGGAGTTGTTCCGCAGTGCCTCTTGTGGTCCTAGAGCCATCCAATAGGCCCCTGCGCCGGCGGGCTAGCGCCGCATCGCACAAGGTGGCCGTTAGGTATACGAACCGCGAGAGGTTGATGCCGGAGGTAATGAATTGTGGACTTTGTGTTTTTTGTTGGACTTGCATAGAACGTGTGAGGACATCTGGAGCGCGTCCATCTCCGATGTCAGTGCGTAACGCATTGTCCGTTTATGACGTGCTCGGTATGTTTGATTCACTGCACACAGGTGTTCACAGAGTTTGTGGAGACCATCAACGGTGTGCACTTCAGCCGTGATCGCAACACCATCATCCTCACCATTCACAATGCGCATCGCATCACAGGCGAGGTGGCGCCGGCCGTCTCGGAGCACGGCTTCAGTGTGCAGCACCTCACGAACACCAGAGTCGTCAACATTCGTGGATCAATTCCGGAGACGGGCCTGCCGCACCTACAGGGAGTGGGTGACGCGCTGAAGGCGTATTACTGCGTTATGCTGATGAGGCGTGCGATAGAGTCCAAGCGGTTCCAGTTCGACTATTCGGCTTCCATCGCTGATGTCGACTATAACGACATACTCGAGTGGCTGGGAGAAGCGTGGACTCGTGTTCGCGCGGCTACCATGCAGCGGAGCTGGTGGCGCGCAGGATGCGTGCCGGAGAGCTGGCCGCCCCTGATGGCGTACCTGGGTGACACGTGCGCAACCGGCATGTTCGAGCCTATTATTTCGGTATGCGTTGATTTGCAGTTGCTCATCGAGAAGTTCAAGGTAAGGCCTGCGTGCTACATGACGGCCTCGGATTTTATCAATTGCGACGCGGGAATATGCGTGGAACAGGGGTTCAGGGCCACACCTGATGCCAGCGCGTCCGATGACTCGTCGGGCGACATGAGCCTGCCAGACGGCCCATTGCTGCGGGACGAGCGCAGCAGGAGGCGCGTGATACGCAACGTCACAAACGCGTACGTGGAGCGTGCCGATGAGCTCGGCATCCCCCCGGCGGCTGTGCCAGCAGAGGTCGGAGCATCGAACCAGGAGGTGATTTCCCGCCTATGCAGGACGCCTGTCAAGAGGGCTCGCGCAGGGGGGCGAGCTGAGAACGGGACAGCCGAAGAAGTGCTGCAGAGTGATGAAGCGCTGGAGAGTGATGACGACCAGTGATGCGTCTGGCAGTAGTGGGGTTTGGTTGTAGGAGTTGATTGGTAACGGTATCGAACGGGGGGGGGGTACGCATTGCATATGTTGGTGTAGTGGTTGTAATTGTGTGTGCTGTATTATTTTGAGTTGATGGAGTTGTTTTGGATATTGTGGATATGAGCATATAACAGTGGACTTACATGTTGTGGTTTCACAGAAACACCAGTTATAACAGACTTATGTCACGGATTTTGGTTCCAATGACATGGGAGCCACGTTTGCGACTCGAGATGTAGGTGTGCGCTTCGAGTTTCGTACATGTTCGTGGAAAAGTTACCGCCAAGTCACTTTTGTGTCAACGATGAAGGTGTGCGTTTCTGATGTGCAAAAAGTTGCGATTCGGGTGCGGTGTTTTTATGAAGCTTTCGGCAACTTTCTCGCAAGGCCAACGCAGAAAAACCTTCGGGGGCCAAAAATCGCAGCTTTCCTTTTTCGCGATGTGGAAACAGCAGACGTTATGGGGCGCTCCTCCACCTGTCCGCGCCGCTACTTCTGCCGTGAGATTGCCTCGCCCAACACCAACGCCGACAGATACCGCTGAAGCTGAGTATGCTTTGATGGAGAAACAGTACGAAAGTGATTGGGGCAAGAGGTTTCCTTGGCTCAGGATGGTACGGATGAAAAACGGTCGGCCTGCTTTGAAGTGCGCGGTGTGTTTGAAGCATGCAGACCCCACAGTTAACACTAACTACGGCATCAAGGGTGAGGGAGAACGAGACCTCCAGCTCGGCAGCATCCCCGCGCATCTGGGAACACGAGCACATAAGAGTGCTCTTAAGGCAGAGGCCGACGCTGAGAAGGAGAAGGCGCAACAGGCTACGCTCACTCGCTGGCAAACTACTGACGCGGCAACGCGACACCTCATTCGGTGTCTTCATGTCGCCATGTTTGTTTCCAAGGCGGATGCACCGATAGCCCATTTTGTCCCATTATGTATGTTTCTTGCCACAGAGGGCGTCCCTGGCATGAGAACTAGTGGCGGCTACGGCTCTTACTATACAGAGTATGTGATATGATATCCTACGTTTAGTGTGTCTACTTTGAGACATGTTAATCCAAGCTACTAGTTGTTAATCCAACCCTAAACCGTTCCATGTTAACCTATCTTCGAGAGGTGCAGCTGCAACACCTCCGCGCGTAGCCTTGGATCGGCCTTAGCATTGACGAGAGTACGGATCGAAACTATGGCAAGCATCTCATCTTAATCGTCACCTTCTTCAAGGATACACGAGTGGCGAACGAATTTGTGACGTTGTTGAGCTTTGACCAGACCGATGCCGCCTCGCTGACTGGAACTCTTCTACGGTTTCTGCAAAGCATTGGCGTGGACCTACATAAGGTGGCTGGCATTGCCACCGACGGTGCATCAGTGATGACCGGGAAGGACAATGGAGTGGTGGCTCGCCTTCGACTGCAAATCGAGCACTTAGTCTCAACCCACTGCGTCGCCCATTGGTTCGTTTTGCACTTGTGTTTGGTCACTGTTTGTTACTTAGGCACCATTCTTTTACACTCTGTTTCGCTTCTCTTACACCCCCCGTTTCCTAGAGTGAGGCGCTGTCGGCCAAAGATGCTGCTCTTGCTGTGCCGGATTTTAACATGGTGGACAAGGTGGTGAGAGGGCTGGCTGATCAGCTTGGACGCAGCCACGTGTGATATCAACGCTTCATGCACCTACAACAATAGTTCTGCAAGACAATCCTCGAGGCTCAGGGAATATACGCCATTCGTTGGTTGTCAAGAGGGGAGGCCGTGAAGCGGCTTTTGGAGATGCTTCCAGCTGCAATAGTGATCCTTAAGTAGTATAACCCCGACCTGTACGAGATCGCGACATCCTTGAAATTCAACTTCCTCCTAAGATTCTTGGCAGACATCCTCTTGGAGCTAAATGCTCTTAATAAGAGGTTTCAGCAGCGCCAGGTAACTATTTAACTTTCTTCCAACCCTCAATCTTTGCCTCTGCTCTCTCCTAACAGCAATTGCTTCACCCCATTCTCAGGTGGATGTCACACTTGTGGCCCATCTCGTGGAGCAGACGCGCATGCGCAACACAAAGCATTACCTCACGAGTGAGAGTGGCCAGAACTTTGGCGAGGGCGACAAGATGCAGCTGCCCGCGTTTTTGGCGGCCTATGAGTCAACCGAGAAGCGTGAGGTGCGCGCGGAGGGAGTTGATGCAGACGACAATCCTTCCACTACCGTCTTCATCCTTCACGAACATCTGCTGAAGGGCTACAACTCGGGCAGCGACGTCACGGCCTGCTACGAGCTGGCCACGAGCTACGCAAGGGAGGTGAACACCAGTTTGGGGCGGCGCATGAGGGACCTGGACAAACTTGAGGGTACTAAGTTATCTGAGCGATGACCAGCAGCGTGTGGTGGCATTCAAGAAGTAGTTGAAGCAGCTACACCAGCTTTACAAAGGGAAGCTGCCAGGTAGGCGTGTATGCAACTATGTTCAAGTTTTCGTCTATTTGTGGTTGTGTAGTTGAACCTTCTCAATGAACTTTTCCATTATCACCCCACCTTAACCATGTTACAGGATTCAATTACAACAAAGCTGTCAGCAAGCTGTGGATGTTCACGGCAACGATGCATTCACAACATCACAGCGAGGACTTCCATCAAGCGCTCAGCAACACCCTACGAGACGAGAACTGGCAGAACTCGTACCCGAACATCATGCGCCTATGGCAGGCTGTGGCAGTGCTCCCGTTGAGCACTGTGGAGTGCGAACGAGGCTTCTTGAAGCAGAACTTGATCAAGACCTTTGCTCGTGGGAGCATCAGCGACATTAGTTAAGGGCATCTCATGAGATGTTCTCTGCTAGAGTATGAAGTTGACTGATTTGATGCTGTTGCGATTTTCCGGGGTGAGAAGACACGACGTCCGATCCAAGACTTCACCTGCCACAATATGGGGGACCAGCAGCAGCAGCAGCCAGCCATGTGATTGAGGAGAATGGGAGATGTCATAAGGGATGGGGAGGGAGGTCCTTGGACGGACATTGCTAGGTGCTCACTGCCCAGGTGTTTCCCTTAGTATGGCAGCTAGTATTGTAATTTGTATGGTCCCTATAGGGACATTGCTAGGTGCTTAGGTTAGGTGTTTTCCTTAGTATGGCAGAAACGTGCTTCTAGTTAGTATGGACCCTAGACGGAAATTGCTAGGTGCTCTACGGTTTGGCTAAAACTAAGAGTAGGAGGTACCCTTTGTGAATCAGTGTTCCAGGTTTTTTTTACATGTTCCCCTGATTTTAAAGCCAGCAGCTAAAATAGTGACCCCCCCCTTCTAGTTGGGTCCACTTGAAAGTTGAAGTGCTTTTCTTTATTTTTTTTCCAAGCGCATATGATGCTGATCGAGTTTCCAAGCTTCAACTCAAACAAAATTGTCGCAAGCATGTGCAAATGCGTCGCTCAAAACATTGCGATGCGCAAGTCTCATTCATATCCAGTGCCAAATTCGGATTGTGAAGCACGTCCAACTCATGCAAAGCAAGCCCAACGCATGCAAAGCAAATGCCTTAGACATGGGTCTGCAAGGGAGGCGATAACAACATGGGAAAAACAAGAAGCGAAAAAAACAGAGAATTTCAGGGGACGAGAGAAGAGACACTTAGTGCAGCAGAAACGAGGACGCGGGAAGAGAGATGCGTGAGCAAAATCTGCGGAATGGTAGGGAGATGGGAGGGGCATGGGGGAGGGTCAGATGAGGTGGAGCGAGGGCGACGGAAAGGGAGGGGAGAGAGCAAGGGAGACGGATAGGGAGGGAAGAGAGCGAGGGCAATGGAAAGGGAGGGGGAGAACGCGAGGGCGACGGGAACAGAGGGGAGAGAGCACGAGCGACGGAAATGGAGGGGAGAGACCAAGGGCGGTGGAAAAGGAGGGGAGAGAGCAAGGGAACGAGAACAAGGACCTGAAGGGATCGACGGGAGGGGAGGTAAATCAGTACGAAATTAGGGTCCCTATTATTATAATAAGAAAACATAGAAGAACTAGCTGGCTGCATAAGTATTTAGCGTCTGGTGATTAACCCCGCCCCCGCCAGCGGCTAAAATTATCGTCACTGAATACTTTGAGCTTCAGGAAGGGGGATAGCAAGGTCGATATTACTACGAGACGGCAGAAAATTTCGCGAGGCAACGGGAGAGAGCGGGGGCGACGGGAGAGAGCGTGGGCGACGGGATAGAGCGAGGGCGACGTGAGAGATAGAGGGCGACGGGAGAGAGGGCGACAGGACAGAGCAAAAGAGAGAGCGAGGGCCATAGGAGAGAGGGCGACGGGAGAGAGGGCGACGGGACAGAGCGAAGGAGAGAGCGAGGGCGATGGAAGAGAGGGCGACGGGAGAGAGGGCGACAGGAAGGGAGCGGAGAGAGAGAGAGCGCGGTGGGAGGGGAGGGGGTAGAGAGAGGGCGACGGGAGAGAGGGCGAAGGGAAGGGAGCAGAGAGAGAGAGAGAGAGCACGATGGGAAGGGAGGGGGGAGAGAGAGCGTGATGGGAAGGGAGGCGACGGGAAGAGCGCGGATAGAGAGAGCGCGACGGGAAGAGAGGGGTGAGAGAGAGGGCAACAAAAGGGCGTTTCGGCGGCGAGCGCGTTCAGCCGAATAATCTCGAGGTAAGTGTCGCTACGCGGCACTAGGCCACGAATAGAAGGATGAGGATTAAATATATGAAAATGGTAGTTGCCTAGGTAAAAATGCCTACGTTTTCAGCTATTCTAAGGGTACATTCTTGCAGGGACACTTGTGTCTCAATCCCCGATTTTTCGAGTCGCGCCTGTAAATTTGCCAAACGTTGTGTCATAAACAACCAGTGTATCGCGACTCTAGGCGACCTGTGAGGATCTAGGATCGAGCTCAAAAAAGAGAATGAGAATAGAGTCAAATTGAATTATCACCTGGGTACAACACGAGGCCATATATAGGCTCGACACAAGGCCTCGTAACCAGGTGTTACGCGAAGGTTCCGCGGGCCGCGTAGCGTCCCGAACAGATCCTTACTGAATTCGGTAGAAGGCAATTCGGTGGAAACCGGAAAGGTCAGAATTCGGTGCATGCAACCTAGCTCGGTGCTAAAACTATAATAAAATATAGGAAAGCACCTAGCCTAGGAAATCAAGCAATTCATACATGCATATCCTATGCTAGAAATAGCATGATAAAGTAAAGGCAAACAAGCATAGCTGGCATAAGCCGTCGTACTCTCACATGTCCCCCCCTCAAAGCTAGGTGGCGTGAGATACACCCTACTTGACAAGATAGTCCTTGAGAGCACGGCGTGTGTTGCCCATATCAGCTTCTGCAACCCAACTGTCCTCAGCGGGGTCGTATCCCTTCCAGCGTATCGGGAACTCGAGGGTCTTGCCGCCACGGCACCGATGAGAGAGAACGCGCTCAATCTCGTACTCGGGTTCATCCTGCACAAGAACAGGTGGAGGTGGTGGTAGCTGCCGTCCCTGGAACTGTTGGTTGGGGTCCTTGCAGGGTTTCATTAGTTGCACATGGAAGCATTGTGAAGCTTCCAAGTAGTAGGTAAGCGCAAGCGGAATGTAACTGGTGTCACCTGTGCCTCAACGAGAAAAGGACCACAGATTCGAGGCCGGAGTTTGGATGGGAGGTGAGACAGGTTCAAGTTGCGTGTGTCAAGAAGCACCTGATCTCCGACTGCTATTGAGGGATCCCGTCGTTGACGATCAGCATACTGATTCGGGGAGTTCTGCATCATGGTGAGACGTCGCAGAGTCTTTTACCATAGCTTTTGCATGGTGGTGACGAAGTCATCTGCGGCTTAGACGTGTGCCGGTGTAGTTGGCTGCTGTGGGGTGAGTGGTTCCCGTCCGTAACACAGGAAGAAAGGAGTTTTCCTTGTGGCCGCATGTGAGGCGTTGTTGTAAGCGAGCTCTAGGGTCGGTAACTGTGTGTTGCAGTGGCTGACGTCGTCCTTGCAAGCTGTGCGTAGTAACTGTTCAACCACTTGATTGAGTCGCTCTGTCTGTCCGTCAGTCTGGGGGTGGTATGCTGAAGACATTGCAAGCTTTGTCCCCACCAGTCCCATGAGCTCCTTCCAGAACCTATTGGTGAATTTTGGGTCTCTGTCTAAGATGAGTGTAGCGGGGATGCCGTGGATGGTGATGATGCGGTCGAAGAAGAGGCGAGTAGTTGCTACAGCTTTAGCTATGGCGTTGGTCGGCATGAAATGACCCATTTTGGAGAACTTATCGATCACCACGAGGATGGAATCATGTCCTTGTGAGGTCGAAGGAAGTCTTGTTATGAAGTCGAGGCTAACGACCTGCCATGGCTGCTTTGGTACGGGTAGAGGCTGAAGTATGTGAAAGGTCCACTGGTGATCCCCGATTGATCCTAGGGAAGGGTTAATGCACGTTGGCCTGGGAGGTTATGGGCGCACTGACCCGCTACTTAACAAGCCCTTTTACCCCAATGGTCTAGTGGTTGGGATTCTGACATGGTATCAGAGCGAAGGTCTCGCGTTCGAATCCCGGTGTACGCACTTCGGCCATCCTAGTGCGGGGGGGTGTCAGAGGTCCACTGGTGATCCCCGATTGATCCTACGGAAGGGTTACAGGCACGTTGGCCTGGGGGGTTATGGGCGCACTAACCCGTTATTTAACAAGCCCTTTTATCCCAATGGTCTAGTGGTTGGGATTCTGACAAAGTAACCCTGCTTTTTTCTGCTTGCTACTCTTCATCCGCTGGCACGTGTTGCTAGAGGTGACGAACTGCTGCACGTCTGCTGCCATCCCGTGCCAGTAGTAATACTTCACTATCCCTGCTAACGTCTTGTTGCTCCCGAAATGTCCCGCATATGGTATGTTGTGAAACTCCTCCAATAGGATCTGCCGTAGCGGGGCATAATTCGGTACCCAAATCTTTCCTGAACCCTTCCTTACCGCTAGGTTTTTCTCCCACCGTAACAGCTTCTTAGTCTGTGCTCTAGCGATCTCTACGTCCATGGAGTACCCACGTTGGAATAGACCCTTGAGTAGAGGGTTCATTCCGTCGAGCTGGATGCCTGCTACATGTCCGGGGCGGTTCAATGCGTTTGCTTTGTTGTGTAGCCCGGGCTTGTAGATGATGTCGTAGTGGAAATGAGTTTCCAGGAAGTCCACCCGACGCACCTGTCGTCGTGAGAGCGTCGGTTGCGACTTCAGGTATTTGAGACTGCAGTGGTCAGTATAGACTGTAGTCTTGGCTCTCTCTAGGTAACACCTCCACGCCTTGAAGGCTATGACTATCGCTAAGGCTTCCTTGTCATGGATGGGGTAGTTCAGTTCTGCTCCGTGTAGCTTCTTACTGAGGTACGCGATGGGCTGCAAACTGCGTCCGTGATCCTGCATCAGTACTTCTCCGACTGCCTGGTCACTAGCGTCTGCTTCCACCACGTAGTCCTTGTCTGGATCCGGTAGGATGAGTACTGCCGCTGTAGTCGTGGTGTCTGTAGCTTCTCCATGGCTTGCTGATGAGGAGTATCCCATTTGTAGGGCGTATCATTTTTCAGTAGGTCGGTCAGCGGCGCTGCTATCTTAGCGTACTGCGACACAAACCTGTTGTAGTAGTTGGCAAAGCCTAGGAACTGCTGCAGCTCCTTCACGTTCTCCGGAACTTTCCATTTCTAGACGGCTTCGATTTTTCGCGGGTCCAGGTGTACGCCCTCGGCACTCACCATGTGCCCGAGAAACTGCACCTTCTTCAGGGCGAAGTCGCTCTTCGACAGCTTCACGAAGAACTTGTTTTTCCACTGGATGTGGAACACCTTCGCAAATGCTCCACATGCTCCTTTATGTTCTTGGAGTAGATGAGAATGTCGTCCAGGTACACCACCCCGCACTCGTCAAACAAGGGCCGTAGGATATGATTCATCTCCGCCTGAAACATTGCTGGTGCGTTGCAGAGTCCGAACGGCATCACCAAGTACTCATAGGAGCCGTATCTGGTACGGAACGCCGTCTTGTGGATCGAGTTGTCGGCCATCTTGATATGCCAGTAACCCGATCGTAGGTCCTACTTCGAGAAGACTGTTGCACCACGCAGTTGGTCCAGTAAATTGTCGATGCGCGGAATGGGGTATTTATTTTTAACTGTCTATTTGTTCAGTGCGCGGTAGTTGATGCACATCCGTAAACTGCCGTGTGGTTTTGGAGTGAAGAGAACTGGTGCATCGTATGGAGAGGTGGATGGGCGGATCAGTTGTCTGTCCAGTAAAAACTCTATCTGTTTTTTTCATGTCTGTCAGTTCGGTCGGACTCATTCGGTATGGCGCACGTGAGACTGGTTTCGCACCTGGTTCCTCCACGATCTCGTGCTCGTGGGTGCGTGCTGGAGGTACGTCTGTGGGTAGGTCGTCGGGCATTATATCCTTGTATTGCTCTAAGACCTCCTTTATGTTGAAATGAACGAACAAGAATGGTTGAACTAACAATGAAAACAGTACAAGTACCTAACCCTAGAATTGTGTACCCCTATAGGCTAACCCACTGTAGCCTAAACAAGCACAACATAGATAATGTTTGACACACCCCCATAGGCGAAAAGGGGGAGACCTAGGGTTCACAAGACCAGTCAAGGCAAAGCAAGGCAAAGCAAGCTCAGGGTGGATCTCAAGGATACCACACAAATTCCGAGCACAAGCAAGTGGTCACAAGACCAGTTCACATGCAGGTTTATAATAGAACAAGAGGTACAATGATCACAACCTAGCAAGAGTAAACATGCACGTATATAGATATAGAGATCACAGTACAGAAGGACTCATGAAGTAAGCAAGTGAGGTCCAGTAGGCACAAGGCCTAGAAGAGTGCAAAATCGCTGATGGTCACAAGGCTGAAGCGCCTTGGTGAACACATCAGCAGTGTTGGCCTCAGAGGCCACGTAACACAGTCGAAGCTGACCACGCTGCTGCAGCTCTCGAGCAAGGAAGTAGCGGAGAGCAATGTGCTTCGTTCTGTGCTCCAGTCTGTGCTCCTCACACAAGGCAATGGCTGCCTTGTTGTCGACGTATAGCACTGGAGGAGAACGAGGCTGCTCTCCAAGGTCGGTCAGCAAGCAGGTGAGCCAGCGTAGCTCCTGGGCCGCCATGGCTGTGGCATAGATCTCAGCCTCACAACTGGAGCAGAGAACAGAAGAAGAACGAGTAGAACGCCAAGAAACTGAACCAGAGCCAAGACTGAAGGTGTAACCCAAAGACGACCGTTGAGTAGCCTGGTCGTCTGCCCAAGAAGCGTCTGAGTGCCAAGTGAGAACAACTGGGTCTCGCCCTAGTGCAACACCCTCTTAGCTGCATCCATGTGCTCCTTCCGGTGACGGCCGGGAGCGACATAGTGTGCAAGAATGCTAAGAGGGTATGCAAGGCCAAGTCGAGTGCAGGTCATCAGGTACATGAGGCAACCCACAAGCTCTGCCTACGGGCCACTCGGCTCTACGGACTCATCCGAAGGAAGAGCTGAGAGTGAGTGACCGGTAGGCAGAGGAGTGGGCTGAGGAGAGGAGTACGTGAAGCGGAAGCGCCGAAGGACCTGCTGCACCATGTGTGACTTAGTCAAGGTGATGGTGCGGCCTGCTATGTCCCAGGTGACCCGCAAGCCAAGATAGCTTGTCACTTCACCCAGATCTGTGTACGTGTGTCTCTTCTGCAGCTCGAAATTCACGTGGGCGAGTGCCGCAGTGTCTGCAGTGGCAAAGACCAAGTCGTCAACGTACACGAGGATGTAGAACGGCGGTAGTGAGGTGTCGGTGCGTAGAAACAGCGACGGGTCAACAAAAGAAGGCGCAAACCCAAGAGCCGCA